GGGCAAAAATAGTGTTCATTTTAAACCCCTAGCCCCAGCATTCTGTCTTATGTGGTAACAGGGGTAGGACATATCAGAGAAAAGACGGAATAAAACAGTAGAGGGTATAAAAATAGAAAATGACAGAAGTAATTATCTAACTAACCTAGTGTTTGGCGTGCGATAAGTCAAATGAGAAATACAGCCAAGAGGAACCCACAACTGCCCAATGGTACCCGCGAATTGGATACAATTCTACATCGACTCCATATTCAATTTTAGAGATTAAAGTAAATCCATGAAAGATAGGTCTTCTTCCCTCTTTTTCAAAACTCCTGATGCATTTAGGTAGATACTGCAAAAGACAGCCACATGTCGTCATAAAATAAATGTTAAATAAGCTAATACTAAAGGAAACTAACCAAAATAAGGTGAAGGAACCTAAAATAAAACTAATAAAATAAAAAAACTGTAGTAAGTGCATATCAGGGAACTAATAATTTCGTAATAATCTTGTAAAAAAAAGTTACGAGGGTAAGTTAAAGCGCGTACTCAAATCTCGGGCGGTGAGTCTGAAGTACGCTTTAATATCACCGCTTACCCCTCACCGAGCGAACAATGAGCGCGTGTTTGTAGGGTTGTGTGCCCTGACCTCGGGCGAGATAATTGAGATTCATTTTTAGCAGTACCCATAACCCCAACATGAATAAAGGTTAATGAGGGCAGAAGTTGGAAGATTGTGGAAATCACCCTACTGAATAAATTTTAAGTAAGCGATAATTCCTGTGATTAATTTGAAAAGCCATGTTTCCTTAATATACTGATTTAAGTGGTCATTGTATGCGGTAGCCTTCCAAGGATCACTCTGTAGTTCAATGCCATCATCCAATCACTACTTGGTCGATAGCCGGCGTGCAGAAAACGGGAAGATTGTGGTTAATTCAATTTACTTAAAATGTGTAAGTAGGTGGTTATACCACATAAGGTTCCTTCTTCGGCCCCAAGAGGTACTCTCACCTAAATAACAACTAAAAAACTTACACTTAAAAAAGAAAAGTATCCACATGACGCTAAAGATTTCCGTGGAGAAAAAGAGCCTGCTAAAAGGTACACATTGGATGCTTGAGTTTATTTTCAAACTATTTCCTTCAAATGACACCGCCGAATTTTTGACTGATACAATGAAGGAAGCTCTGCGGGCTGCAATAATGCTAGCTTCTACCACAGTCAATTGACGACCTTTGATACTTTCAGCATCAGGTATGAGATGCAATACCGAACTTGGAATGTTACCGTGAAATGTTCACACCAGCCGGAACCATTAAAAGTGCATTGCACGGCTTTTTGGCCCAATAGTATTTCATCTTATCACAGTGTTTATGAAGAGATATAAGGGGCAAGACCCTACCTTGAAACTCAATAATCGAGGCCAGCACTAAGGTCAGAAATAAGACTGTAAGGTCATTTTGGAAACCGCAAATGAGAAGTGTTCTGGAAGTTTTGATCACGTACTTGGGCACAGTTTATATTGAATGTTGTGAACATTACGTAGCAGAAGCGTTTATCTCTACTTTATTCAGGTAGGACTTTATTTGAGACCTATTCCGGACACGTTTTAGATGATTGAAGCTGTCCAACGACGTTCTAGTAAGGCAGTCCCTGAACTTAAGCAGTTCACATAGGAACAACGTTTGACTGCTTTAAATCTCTTTTCCTCCATTATAGACAAGACAGAGGTGACCTTATAGCAACGTTTCAGTTAATAAGGGGAACTGGTCTTGATGTCAAGTGGGAGGATCTCTTTCAAACGGCCCCAGGAAGGAACCTCAGAAGACATGACTAACTATTGAAGAAGGAACTAAGCCGAACAAACCAACGTTCATCCTTCTTCTCACAAAGGGTCATTTGACAGTGGAAATCCTTGCCAGAGTCTATTGTGCATTTACCCACTGTGAACGTGTTTAAGAGACGTCTAGATAACCATCTGTTAAAGTTCAACACGCACCTAACGTAAATGACTACAAACAACACTAGAAATAAGCATACTACTCACTTGACTTCAAGAGAAATTTTATTTACATCAAAGGTGTCCAGATGAAAATTTCATACCGGATATATAGTTAACTTTTTGGATTCTCCCATTTCGCAAACGCATCACCTTATCAACCATTCATGATTCCAATATATGTTTATGCACTTTTGTACAACAAAAGCGATCTGTAACAACCTTTGCATAATGCGCTACAGTGTATGCAATCCTGTACCGTTTCAATTGAGCTTTTAAGGGCTCTGGTCAGTTACTCCAAATATACTGACTGATACTGACTGACTGATGTGGTAGAAATATGCATGTGGAATGTGCTTTTTTGTATGCAGATCCAGTATCACTTATATTTCTGAGTTCAACTTTCAGTGACGTGTCACAAAATTGGATATGTTATAGACTATACTATACTACTGTGGTTAACCAATAGTGAATACTAGATATTTAACTTATATTCAAATAATAATGGTACGCTTTAACGTTCAGTGCAGTTTCGACAAGATGTCACGAGCGACGGTCCTTGAATGCTGACAGTCCGGATATTATCATGTTGCACGCCGTCAATTTGATTCATTTGTTCATGTGCACATTCGACCTATTTTCAAGACAGCGGCTGGCTTGATGCAACCAGGAGTTTTGGCGACCAGGAGTTTTATTATGCTCAAAGGT